TAAGTGTCCAGTTTTAGGGTCTTACACAGAATTAAACCAAACAACATGAATCAAACATGCACTTTATTTATTTCCACTAAATAACAAAAGTACATCAAATCGGATTGAAGCTAAGGGCATACAAAACTGTCTAACATAAGTAGCATTGGGCAATAAGATTGATAAGGGGTTTCGGACATTTGCATGCACATTAGTATGCGAGGAGATGATTGCCCGCTTCTGACATGACATTCAATGATTTGGGAATGGATTGATTAGTAAGTGTGAATGCAAACTATTATCAGGTATCATTGTTTGAAGGTTGACAGTACCTTCAATGAAATTTGAATGGATTGAGTGGGAAATGTGGATGGATTGTTTAGGGTGTGTTAGAATATCTCATGTTTGAATGAAATGTGAATGGATTGAATAGGAATGGGAAGGAGATCCAATAGATTAGCAAATATAGAGTGATATAGTTATCATTTTCATATTTGTTATCAAATGAGCAGATATATGGACTATATTCAATAAAATATGGGTCTGCCCATATAGTCTACATCATCTTAATCTGAGGGAGATCCAGCCCATCATCTTAATCTGCCCACAGATGTAGTTGATGCAGAATTGGATAATGGATCGGAAAACAAGTCTATGTACAAGCCTGGATTCAAAGAAAATCGATGATGGTGTGGAACTTCTAACTGTCTAAGCAAGCTCTTGTGTAGGATTGCAATAGAATTAAGAAAATGTCTCTCTCCTGCATGAAAATTGTAAGGATTCCTCCACACTAATTTAAGCCAATTTCCGCCAGAAGAAACCTCTTGTATATGAAAGACCGATATGGATTAGCTACCACTAGCTGAATTGTGGACTCAGGACTGTAACCATTTTGGCAAGCTCAGCTGTTTGGCCTCAAACAATATTAGGCCGAGCTCACATGCACATTTGCTATCACTATGGTTGTAACAATGAACAATCCAAATTTCTTGCACCTGGACTAGTGGTTATTATTGAAAAAAGCACACTAGGTAGAGCATTTATGTTTACTCTCATTGTTTGCATCGATTTTAAACAAACGATAGCAAATTTGTGCCCTGATTTATATAAATTCCAAACAAACGAGAAAAGTGCAAAAACCAAACTAACTCTTGAATGACTTTGCATTGGATGAGTCAAAAAATGCATGGTAGATATTTGCATTTGCATAAGAAACAAACGCAGCCTAACGGTAATATAACAGAATGTGAAAAGTTACGACGAGTTTAAGAGAATTTGTAAAAAGTGATGGTGAATTATAGACGATTTCCAAATTAATGTGCCCAAATCAATCCCATCACAGAAAAAAAGTTTTTATAAACTGTGCTAAAAAAAGAAGTTTTTATAAAGGCTATAGGAGACTTTCCCTATTATTAACAAACTGCCAAATGAATCATGGTCGTTAGATGATGGCAATACGATTATCAAACGGCAAAAGTGCTCGTGGCGGATCTATGCAGCGATCCTTAATCCTTATATGATGTATCTTCAACGAATCCATTTGATCACGCTCACAGCGCATTTTAGAAAAATGCCCATTATGTTCTTTTTTACTTTTGTTTGGCTTTCAATTCTTTTTTTAAATAAAATAAAAATGGTTATTAATTAAACGATAAATACATTGAATTTCCCACGCTGAGAGATAACTGCAGACAATAATTCTTTCATGAATCTCAGATTTACCGAGACATTAAAACAGCAGAGCAGTTAACGAGCACGAATCATTTTCTTTGGGAAACCCTAGAATTTGATGTGAGATTGTAAATTTGTAATGGAAGACATGAGGTAATGGTTCGCATCTCGATTTCTGCTGTTTGCTGCGTCTCGTCTCGTCTAGTCGGGGGAGATAAGTGATATTTGATTCCCCACACCCTCTTTTTCTCAAGTAAGGCTTGGTTGGTTCTTTCTTGATCTGGGGCAGTTAATTTTTGGTTCAGCCTGGGAGTTCGGTATAGATTTGGATTTGTATTCGTGCTTCTGCAAATTTAATTCTAACAAAGCAGCCTGCTTTTGGTGGGATGGTGGGTTGATGGTTGTTGTGGTTCGATTTATTAGTGAATTTAGATCTGTTTTATCGAGTGGAGGATTGGTTCTGTTCTAGGTATGCATATATTGATCCGTTTTCTGATAATGCTGTTGCGGGAAAGTTGGATTTGATAGCCTTGGGGAAAAAGTGAGGAACTTTCTCCTTTCCAGTGAAATTCGTAGTTCATATATTTGAATTTAGAACGAGGAAAATTTTGCAATTGTGCCGGAGGTTGGTTGATGGACAATGTGCGAAGCCACTTTCGAGGTTGAATTGGATTTATAGCACTGCTGTTGCATTGGTATTTTGAAGCATAGTATGTGAGATTTAGCGAAATCCAGAAGTTGGTCTGCAAACGGGATTTCTGTGGTTATAGTTTCTTAAGTTGGATTTTTATTTGGTGGTGGTTCAGCAGTTTTTAATGAATTTTGTGTGGAAAAGAATTCGAGAATTTTGAATGAGAGGGGATTCAGAGCGAGAAGGGAAATGAAAGGGAAACCTGTGAGTCTAGAAGGACGATGACTGGAGGGTCATTGGGTCTTCGTACAGGGAGTTATGGATCACTGCAACAACATCTGCAGAACAGTGTTGTGTTGCCGATTCAAACTACACCCGTCACCCTGCGCAAGCCCTCGAAGATGCTCCTACCTGGATACAGAGAGAAAGAAAAGTTTCTTCCTCGGATCTTCAAATTCGCTGGCAGAAGGAGGGTAGGAATGCTGCTTCTGCTGGTCGTTTCTGTTGTGGTTTTCATATCAGTCTTATCTGTCGTTAATAAAGGTTTGATTCTGTATATCTGTTTTGTTTTCCTTGTATTTTCTTTGCTCTTTTCCTGGCTCTTCTGCGTGATACGCAGTCAATTGCTGCATTATTGATTCCTTTCTGATGTTGCAATAATGATCTATGAAGGTTCCTTAGACGCTTAGGATTGTGATAGGCAAGTCAGCGTAAAAAGAATTCTACTCAACTTCTGAACTGCGGTTGGTTAGGATGTCTACTGTTTAAATAACTAGCATAGTAGTTATGGTAAACATTAAGAGGGTTGTGACCCATCAGTTGATGAATGCAAACAAGAATATTTTAAAGGCCAAGATCTGACCCAATATGATGTTCTTCAATACTCTAATATGCACTCTTACTGGAAAGTAAGTTTACTATGTCATTCTGCTGATTCCCCAGTGCCACGGACTAGATTACAAGGATCATATGGTTTAGCCACTTCTGGTGGATGAGATAATCAGGTTGGGTCTCACTAGTAATGACCCCTTAGTATCTGCTTTGATTGAGTTCAATTCAGCATGAATAACCATTGCCCTTTCCAGAAAATTTCAGCTATCTCATATACTGATTCCTGTATGTTTTTGTATGGTTTATTTTTGAACATAACCTTCCTGCTTTTTGGCCTGGCTTCAGATGAAGATGCTTCAGAAGGTGTAGTTCACCATACTCGAATGACTCAAAATATTAGACCAAGCGATAGCATCGCATCAAGTTACCCTGAATCTTCCCTGATCCATGGAGAACAATATAACAAGAAGGATGCTAGCTCTCTCTCAAAAACTGTTGTGTCAAGAATTGGTGCTAACAGACTGAAGCCTCCTCTGCCTCCAGTAATCATGGGGACTGCTCTGCTACCGAGTCATCCATGTGAAAAGTTCACACTTCCACCTCCACCGGCTGATAAAAAGCGAACAGGACCAAGACGTAAGTTGAGTTTCTGTTTGGGATTTTACATATTCACATCAAATATTTGTTTTATTGATCATGCTGCTAACCATGCATGTGTAATATGATGTTAACATCATTTTTTGGTGCTGAAATTTCTTGTTTATTTGCTCCTTCAGCATGTCCAGTATGTTACATTCCAGTAGAGCAAGCAATGGCCCTCATGCCAAAATCCCCATCCATGTCTCCTGTACTCAGGAATTTAAGTTATGTATATGAAGAAAACTCAATTAGAACCGAGCCATTTGGAGGATCTGAATTTGGTGGATATCCTTCTTTGAAGCAGAGGAATGATTCTTTTGATATAAAAGAGTCAATGAATGTGCATTGTGGGTATGTTTCACTCTCCTTCAATTTTTTACTTAGATGTTTCTGTAGCTTCTTAAGGTTATAACTTATAAGATCATCTTTTCAAGTTAAAGTGGACTTTTCTATTTTGATGTTCCACATGCTTTTTTAATCATTTTCACTGTTCTGCATCTACATGAGTTATAATAGAAACAAGGAACTATTGTCTTATACTTAACTTTTACCTGTTCTACGTTTTTTATTGATGCATGCCATTGCTTATCAGATTTGTTAGAGGAAGGAAACCTGGCCACCAAACTGGATTTGACATTGATGACACTGACCTTCTTGAGATGGAGCAGTGTCAAGGAATTGTTGTTGCATCAGCTATTTTTGGTATTTCCAAAGTATTTTTTATTTGATTTCTTTGTTGGGTTCAAGCTACCGTCTTGCTTTTTCTCATTGGTGTTTCTTGAGCAGGAAACTATGATATTATACAACAGCCAAAGAATATCAGTGAAGCTGCAAAGAAAAATGTTTGCTTTTTCATGTTTGTTGATGAAGAGACAGAAACATATATGAGAAACTCTAGTGTTCTGGACGGAAGCACTAAGGTTGGATTATGGAGAATTGTTGTTGTCCATAACCTTCCTTATGCTGATGCAAGACGCAATGGAAAAGTAAGTATTTGAGCCATGATTGGTTCTCTTGGACTCTTGAAATTTTGTCTCTCAGAGCCCCTTTGGGTGCAGTTATTCAACTCTTTAGAAATTAGTCTGCCTATGTATGGAAGGGCATGCATAGAATACTATAACTATTTATTTGTAGCTATCAACATGAATAATGTGGGTAGCATGATAACAGAAAACAGTAAGGATGAGGCTTAGATGATGATAATGACAAAAAAGAGCAGTCCAGTGCACGAGGCTCCTGCCAATGCAGGGTCTAGGGAGGAATATACACACATAACCTTATACACAGAAATGCTGTTTCCAAGATTTGAACCCTGGTCAATGGACAAAAAATATTGCCATCCTTTCCCCTGTTCTCTCCTATTCCAGCTACTCCTGGGTTACCTGTGGAACTTCCATCAAAATTTAGAGGGTACTTGTCATTTCACAAGGGGAAATGCTCTGTTTGTCAAAAATGAGATGTGCCTCATTCATCAAAAAAAAAAATGAGATGTGTCTAAATCATCAACCTTCTTATGTTCATTTTTTTCTCTCACAAAGCATTAATGTTCCCATTTTGCATTTTCTCCGCTTATTTTGAAATCAACTTTTTATCAATAAAAAAGAAAAAGTTGAGCACATAATTCTTATTCAGATCATTTAGGGCTAACTATTTAAAATCCTTCTAAGCCATTCCATACTATTTAGGACATACCATCAGCTACGCCTGTCAGTGATACCTGAAACTCCACGGCCCAATTGGATTGGATTTGGATTTTTCAAGCTGCATTTGATTAATAACCGGATCGGTTTCCGATTTGTCTCCATCTGATCTGATTAAAATCTGAATCCGATTATATTATAATATTTATTGATTTTAATATAAAACTTATACAATTATATTTAAAATTACAAAAAAATATTTTTTTATATATTATTACATATGAATTTATTTATATAATAAATTCAGTATGTTATATTTTCATTAATTTATTATATATAAAAGTGGAGTTGGATTAAATCCGAATCCGATCCAAGTCCATTAGGATTTGAATTCGAATTCAAGGTCTTCAAATCCAATCAGATTTTGGACTGGATTCAGATGCAAGTTTTCAATAATTGGATCGGGTTCAGATTTTGCTGAATCCAATCCATTTACAGACCTACTATCAGCTTTTGGTTTTGTTAGAATTAAGAATTTAAGAGGGTACCACTACTTTCTTGTCACTTCAGAGGGGGATATGTCCTGTTTATTAAAAATGGGATGTGCCTAGCTAAATTGTTAACTTTCTTTCTGCCCTTTTTTTCTTTCACAGAGCATCAATTTTCCCATTTTGCATCTTCTCCTCTTATTTTTAAATGAATTTTTATCAATAAAAAAGCAAAGGTTGAGCACATAATTCTTATTCAGATATTTTTTAGGGTAAAATATTTCAAATCCTGCTCATCCATTCCATGCTATTTAGGGCATACTTCTTTTAACTTTCTCCTTGTTTTTTGTTATTGGTATCTATTGCAACTATTCTATTTTTTATGTTTTATTTTCCAGTTCATCAAGTTGTTTCATGGTGAAAAGAGAAAGATGATTCCTGTTGGTACTTGCCAGGTTTTTGATGATGGAACAATTGGCACAGTTTGGATGCATCTGGGGCTTTTGATATTTGTTGTCAAAAGCTTCCTAATTTGTTCTAGATTCTTACCCATCAGAAAAATGTACTAGAATCTTATGTTGACTCATATTATGCCTGTAACAGGTTCCTAAGCTTCTATTGCATAGGATTTTCCCTAATTCTCAGTTTTCTATATGGATTGATGGGAAGCTTGAGCTTGTGGTGGATCCATATCAAATTCTTGAGAGGTACATTCTATATAGTTTTTGTTCTGCAGATTTTCTATGAATTTGTTATTTATATGTTCATTAAGGTGTAGTTAACGAAATCTATCTGAAGCTCCTACCATATTATATTTCCCTTAATTCCTGTTTTCACTGCAGATTATGGAAAAAGCTGGTTAATGATGAGAGAAATTAACTTTTGGTCATTTTATTTTATTATTTTTGGTTGACAACAATCAGGATTTTTTTTTATATGTTACAAAGAACGATTTTCAAATAATATTCCAGGCACCCCTTTTTGTAGGGAAGCTCTAACTGCCTACCCCTTAAGTTAATATAGTTTTACATTTAGTTCCCTAATGGAACCACCCATCATAACAGTTCATGCCTATTTACTTGTTCTTTGGCCAAAGCATCAGCCATACTATTGCCACATCTAAGTTTCCAAAGAAAAGGTTGATCTTTTTATGGATCTTTATCTAGAAGGGTATCAATGGCATTGTTCTGTTTGTCATGCCATCAATCTCATGGCTTTAGTTCAGTTATTTTTAGAAAACTTTAGTTCAATTTCACCTGACAATTATCACCATCTGGAAATTGCTGAATTTGGGCTCTTAGTTTAGTCCTGGTTGACCAGTTACCATAGCTTATTGGCAATATCCAGTGTAAACCTGATCCAGGAACATCATTTTTAGGCACAATTCCGCCCATTGCCTCACAGCAGTTGCACTTTTTGAATCTTTATCACCAAAATGCTGCTGTCCATATCCTTACGACATCAATGTCGTGCATTTCTTGGGTGTGATTTTTTTATAGTGAAGGGAAAATTTTCATTAAAAGATTTTTTTGGATGTGAATACTTATTATTCATTTGTTTCTTTCTGCAAGACCTCTAGATATTGTCCAGAGTTACTTACTAGGTTATATTGCCCTGAGAGTAGAATTTTAATGAAGCATATTTTTGATAAGATAGATCTTCCTCTATAAAGGGGTGAGCGACTCTTCCTCTATAAAGGGGTTAGTGACTCCCCCCCCCCCCACAAAAAAACCTCCAAAAAATAAATAAATAAATAAGAGAAGAAAGAAAATTTGCAGCACAACTTCTATACTAGTTAAGGGCTAGGCAAAAACAGGAAAAGAAATGTTACCTGTTTGTTTTCTGGCTTAACCATGTCGACCATGTGGCTAGCATTAAAAGCATCTTCATGTGTTTGTAAGCAACAACCTATGATTGTATGATTAGTTAAAATAATGATTTTTTGTTTTTTACAAGGAAAGCCCTCCTTTATTTGCTTACCTTTTCCATTTCCATAGCTAATTCATGAGATGGTCTAATCAGTCTACATCTTTCATGCTCTGGATGACACAAAATGATACAATCTGAATCAATTTTCAGCATTTCCATGTTATTATTCTCCTCTGTACTCGTGTTTCTACTATCTCCTCTCTGGTTTGAACCAAATAACTGATTTAAACAAAAAGTTGGACCTAGGATTTCCAAAATCCATATATAGGGTCATTAATATTACCTAATGTTGATTCGAGCTATCTGGATCTTGGGAGCGGTGGACTGGATATGGACCTAATATTTTGGCACATTTTACATGAAGTAGCTGCTGTCAAGCTCAAACCTGCATTCTCATGCTTGTCAGCCTGAGATTTTATCATGACACAAAGCAATGGCCTCTTTGTGCAAAAATATAGGGTCTGTTCAGATTTTGGGTTTTGCTCTGGTAATCTGGTGTGCTTCATCATTTTGGATGTGGATGCAGCTCTCTGCATGGATAGGAGACATTCCAATGAACTTCACTCTTTTTTTTTCAGATATTTGTTCTGGAACTGGCATTATCAACTTTTCTGTCAATTTTTCAGATTTTTGTGGCGGAAGAATGCTAGTTTTGCCATCTCTAGGCACTACAGACGCTTTGATGTCTTTCAGGAAGCTGAAGCTAATAAAGCTGCTGGGAAATATGACAATGCTTCTATTGATTACCAGATTGAATTTTATAAGAAGGAAGGTTTAACCCCATATTCTCAAGCTAAGCTTCCGATCACCAGTGGTGAGTTGCATGTTATGTTTTTTCTGTTGTCTTGGATCCTCCCTAGTTTCTTTATCTCAATTTGAGTTGTGTCCTTTATGCATGGGTTTTGACAGATGTTCCTGAAGGATGTGTAATCATAAGGGAGCACATTCCTATTACCAACCTCTTTACCTGCCTCTGGTTCAATGAAGTAGACCATTTTACATCAAGGGACCAACTTAGCTTTTCCACCGTAAGGGACAAGATCATGTCAAAAGTCAATTGGAGTATCAACATGTTTTTAGATTGTGAAAGGCGCAACTTTGTGGTTCAGGTAATTATTTTTTTATCATGACTATAGCAGCATTGCTGGATTCACAAATCCACATCAAAAGAGGTAGTCCAAGAAAACTTTATTTATGAGGAAACAAGACTTTGGAATTCTCAAGCATCTTTGTTTAATGTCATGCTTCTGAAAATTTTGGTATATGGTAATCTATAATACCCAGATACCTTTACATGTCTAGTGTACCAGTGTTGGATATGATACCAAATATTGCACAGATACTTCTAGATATACTTTATGCATTAACAATTTTAAAATATGTAAAATGGTATATTTTAACTAAGAAACAATCTGCACATGTTAGAAATTTAATTAAATTTGGTAAGAAATAAGTTTTGGAAGTGCCATTTAGCTTCAAAAAATTAGATATAAATGCATGATATAAGCATTTTACATATACCTTTAAGCTTTAGCACTGTCCAAGATTTTAGGAAATAGAGGGTCATATTCCCATTTCCCATATTCCTGTCCATGTCCATATCCATATCTGGGTATTATAGATGATAATTGTTGAGGATGACACTTGCATGCGTCTTGGCTTCAAGCTGATCCTTGTAATCTTAAACTCTAAATCCGAAATACTTGAAACAGTCTGCCTGTAACCTAACCTAATTTAAGTTGCAGGTAACCTGACCTTCCCAACCTGAGTGTAATGTGCCTAATACTATCTAATTGGGTCTGGGATAGGTGATGTTTTGCTTGGTTTTCAGTGTCATAAGCCAGGGAGACAATAATTAACTTTGTGCAAAACTTGAAATTTTGCCCTTTCACACTTGGGACATACTCATCTACTACATTTTTACTATCTGTCTCTCTCATGCAAACACATATTGTCCGAGTGTGCACATGCAAGCCAAATAGCTATTTCTACATGGGTTGCCTAGTTGTAACCAATGCTGTGGAGATGTTATCTTATCTCTTTATTTTATTGTTTCTTGTAAATGAAATATTTTGTGGCTGCTTTTCTAAACACACTGTCAAATTCTACCTTAGTTGCCTCCAGTGATTTTTCTGTCAGTTTTAGATAAACAAGTGTAGCAAACTTTAACCCATTGATGAAGTTTTCTTTCTGTACTTGCAACCTGCAGGCATACCATAGAGATTTATTAGAGCATATGGCACCTCCAGCAGCAGTCACTAATGAAGCCCCTGCAAAACCATTACCTGAGATTGTAACTGATAGGTCTGTAACAACTCCAGTCAGGAAGATCCCCACAAAACGTGGGAAAGAAAGAAGATCTGGTTCAAGACGTCACCGTTCCAAAACCATCACAGTTACTAGGGATAACAATATGATTTAATTTTGTAGTCAATATATATATTTTTTTCATTTCCTTGTTTCTCAATTATTCATTAGGGAATAGGAGGATTCAGGGAATGAGTGTAGTAGGCCTGTTCTGAAAGAAAGCAATAGGGATAATTTTTGTCCGGAATTGTCGATATCTATTCTTTCTTTTATTGTATATATATATATATCAATTGCAATAAATATCACGATCTGTTATTTCCCCTTGTCTAGTAGGTCATATTGTCCCTTACAATTTTGGTTTCCAGAGAACAATGAGATGAAAGCTTCAGCTGGTAGTCTATGTTGTGTATTTCTGAAGTTTTGTTGTTGGAAAACAGAATAAGAGGCGGTCGCTGTTCCTGTTACTGTATTTCATACTCACTATTGTAGTTCTATGAGGGTTAATGGAATTATCATCATTCTCAACCTTCAAGATCTATGTACTCTTATTGCTTGTCTTTTTTATCTTTATTTCTTAATTGATGTATTTTCTAGTGTGAGCTGCGCAGTGTTGTGTAATAGGAGGAACGGGATCTGCTCCTCACATGGGGGCGCCTCACATTTCCTGTGAATATTAACTTATAAGTACGGGAGTTGTTCCCAATGCTGGTACGATGTGCGTGTGAGGCGCAAATGAGGCGCCTTGTGTGAGGAGCAGATCCGGTCTCGTGCAATAGACTGTTAATTTTAAGATCGTACAGTGGGGGAGGAAAAAACCTTGGGAAGTTTCATTGTCATGGAGTATATTGATGAACTAGTGTGAGTTACAGGTCAATAAGTGTGGTCGAACGCCCACGTGAACATGTACATGTTTCTGTTTCTGTGGGTACCTCTCACAGTATTTAGAGTGGAGAGGTGGACCCTTCCTCTTGACTATGCAACGTTGAGTTCTGGCCAATTGTTTTATTCACAATAACTGCCATTCAATTGAGCGAGCTAACTCTCTCTTCTCTCTCTCTCTTTCATGCTAATCAACTAGCCAATTATATTGTTGAAGACTTCATTTCAGTTCACTCAGAGAAAGTGAATTGATGGACCATTTCAACCGTTCCAACCAACAGTATGGCTGGTGGGCCTATTTACATTTATGACATGGTTTTGCTTCAGAATTGCCTTCTATTGACAGGATTCCCAAAGGCTGTGTTCGGTTTAAAAGAAAAAATAAGAGTAAAGGTTCGATTTAGGAGTTTTCACATGTTATTTGGCCAATTGAGTTTGATTTAAGAGTTTTCATGGGTTAGATTGGTTCAGTTTCATGTTGTCTGGCCAATTGAATCGATTTGAGTTAAGTTGAGGAATTGACCACCCAAAACCGACCAACTATTAATAAAAACTGACTCTACTATAAAGAATCAATTTAGGTCGGTTGGCTCGAAAGACAGCCCAAAAGCGATTTTAACTGTTTTCAATAGATAAAAATCATACATTGAATGGTTCAATGTGGAGGTCGGTTGGCTTAAAAGACAGCCCAAAAGCGATTTTCACTATGTTTTCAAAAGATAAAAATCATACATTGAATGGTTTTCACAATGTGGAGTAAGTAAGATTTTATAGGTAAAAATCAATTATTAAACGGTATTATGAAAACCATTTGCTGTCTTCGATTATAGAAAGTGATATCGTGCTTTCCTTGTATGAAAAAATTTTAAATTAAATATAGGCTTGGTTTTTACCGGTTTATGCGATGAAACGGAAACCGACCCTTCAGGTTAGCATGATGCATGAACCGACCAAAAATAGTTGAAAACCGGACCATTCGGACCGAGTTGGACCGAATTGGTCGGTTTGATCGATTTCATGAACAGCCTTAGATACCATTTCGTACAACTACAAACAGCATCAGGCCCACCTCCGCCAGCTTGTGGTCACATCAGCGTACAATTTCAGACTGCCCACGGGTGCAACATACAAACAACAGTGCCACCTCTCGTTGCTTTTTGGGTACTTCGTGTCCAAACCAAAACCAACGGTAAACATAACACAAAATCCAACCTTCAAATTCTTTGAGCAGAGGTGTCCGAAGCTCCCTTCTACACGAACCGTTTCGGCCACGGAATCCTTCCGGTGGTAAATGGTAATGTAGTATATGGACTGGGCCCAGAAATGCTAGAAAGAAGACGTACTGACAACGAAAACATGGGCCTGCAGATAAATTGCCTCAATATGGGCCAATCTGAGATTTTCAAGTTTTTTTTTTCTTGAAATTTATTTCATTTTATTTTCTTTATAAAAGCCATAAATGGATAATTTAGAGCCTTAGAGGCATCAAATAAGGGTACTTTAGTCTTATAGATAGATATAAAATATAAAATATAACATAATAAAAAAATACCATAAACGGTAAAAATGGGCAGCGACCGAGCGACACAGACACGAACAGAGTGCACCTCTCTCTCTCTCTCTCTCTCGCGAATAGGCGCCAAAATTGCCAGCGTTCTTAGCCAGACTCACAGAGAGAAATGGGAAGAGTAGTTGATTGATGTTTCTCTCGTTTTTTTGTTGGTTGTTCTCCCGTAAAATGCCGCGTTAGGGTTAGGGTTTGATTATTGTGTTTTTCGAATCAATCCAATCCATTTCCCCCCTTTTCCGTTTCTAAGATCCTTCAATGACTTGAGATTAGGGTTTTCCTTTTTGCTTTTTGAGGTTCTTAATTCGTTTTGTTATGTCACAGCCATGATTTTTGCTTCCTTAAGCATTCATCATTGTTGAGTCCTGCTGCGGAGGACATTTGATCTCTCTCTCTCTCTCTCTCTCTCTCCCCTCCCCCAAATTTCTTCTCTCTATCGATCTCAATGGGATCATCTGGTTTCTTTGTGATTTGTCTTCTCCATTCCATCGTTGCTCTCACTTGTGGAGCTCTCATGATGTTCTATCAAGACGAGATCTCTGTTGTTGGGCACGGGACTGAAACTGCGAGTAAGCTTTTGGGTTCGACGCCACATGATCAGCTCCTGATCAAGACCTCCGATTCGTTTGCTGGTCTGTTGTTGTTCGTGATCGGGTTTCTGCTGTTCATGGTCGCGTTTGTTAAGGACAGAGAGTTCCAGAGCTTCTTCGCCAAGGGATGCGTGCTTCTTCATGTCTCCGTGTCTCTATGGAGAGTCTACTTTGAGAGGAAGCTCGAAGATCTCGCTCATGATTGGCCGAGGCAGGTCGTTGGGGACATTGCGCTGGCACTTTCCTGGGTTTTCTTCCTCGTGTACTCGTGGAGAGAGAAATATGATTAACTCGATAGGGAAATAATGGTTGCCTCCATGAATACGGGTTTGGGTATTTCTACTGAATTGCATTGCCGAACAAAGCAATAGGTTGTTGCCGCTGCTCCTTAATTGTGCTGTAGATGGTGAAAGAGGAATCGGAATCAAGGTGGAGTAGAAATACAGTTTTCTTGAAGTGAGGCTCGCCTCTTTATGCTGTAAAATTGCTGGGTTGGGAGATGAATCCCATTGGTAGAGAGCACAAATCGAGTCGGGGTCAGTATGTTTGCCTGAACTTTGTTTAGAGTCTTTGATGTTTTTATTTTCTTTTTTTTTTTCCTTTGAACATATCTGAAAGGCCGTGTATTACTTCTCTTGTAAATTTTCTTTGGCATTAATAATAATAAAAATATTTGACACCTTCTATTTGGTTTTAAGTGAGGTGGTGCTTATATATGCTATCTGTGGTTCATATGTACTGTGATGTGATGATCCACTAAACAATTTCAGATGTTAAGTAAACATGATATTACCTGATAAGCGGAAAATATAATCTATTGGCTGTCAAAAGCATTCTCTTATTTATCTTGCCACTTAGAAGGCATGGAGTTGTAAAACCATGGAACTGCTATTGTTTTATTGGTGCAACACATCATTATGCCCTTTGATTGAGTTGATATTTTCACCTTCTTCTGATGCCAGTCTAGTGTCAAAGCATAATAAATGTCTTAAAACTTGAGGAACTGCAGAAGAATATAAAGTATTACTGGTTTACAGGTCCTTAGGTCTTGATCTGGCAGTATACATTGTATGCCAATAAGTTTTGTCAACATTCAGTACCTAATGCCCTACAGGTTAGAAGACACTTGATTCCCATGTATTTACATAATCATAGGGATTCACGGACAAAGTAAGGATCTACCATGTGGCAGAAAGGGTAGCTGTCATAAAGTGTCATACAGTGTCCTAAATCCTTCATTCATGGGGCAAGTTTGTGATTAGCAACCCCTGCAAGGTACATGGTGTAACATGGAGCTGAATGGACTGGGGAGTGAATACGTATAGCCAATATAGATGGTCCCCTTTCTGGTGGGTAGTTTGGATTGACCATGTGGCTGAAATAGTAGAATGACTAATTCTATGCCTTTTGAATTTGTTTCACCTGACCATTCCGTGAGATCCATGTGTCACATCCTAAAACCTGAAGCAGCATCTCCCTGTGAAAAGAGGGCACTCAGAACAGATTCCAAGTTGTCATTCATAAAAAGTAAAAGGGAGCTTGGGGAACGTGATTGGTAAAAAGAAAGTAACTTTCTTGGAAGGTAGACCCCCCCTCCCCCTTCTCTGTCTCCAAGCAACCATATGAACATGCAAAGTGCAAAAATACATGCACTAGATAAATGGGTGCATGTGTATCACTGTGGATTGTGGGATTTTGTTTTTGTGTGTTTGTGAGTTAAAGCAGTAGAAACTAGTTTTTCATATGTAGCAGTAGGTTTATGATATGTGGAAACCATTGTAGACAATCCTTGGTGTTTTAGGTTTAAGTTTAGCTCTGTTCTTTTTAGTGAAAGGAAAATGACATCTATTGGCATTTTTGTTCTCCAGTTCTGATTTCACGTTTACCTTGGTCTGGGAAATGACCAAAACCATTTCTGTAGGAATACTTGAATTTTAGCACACATGCATATGCAGGGAAAGTATGTTCCATTTTTTAAAAGTCATGTAGCTGAGGTTCCTGATTAATGAGGTACTTGTATGTTCCTCTGTTTTATTGTGGATTTGTGGTAGAAAGACCTTCCCCGTTTATAACACTTCTCTGTTCTTGGGTTGTTGCTGCATCTAAGCATCTTGAATTGCCACGGTTTTAGTTTATTTTCTTATCTGCACTCCTTGTACACAGTTTATTTGTTAATTTATTTATTGGATTTGCCTTGTGTACATGTTATCTATACTCTTTTAGATGCCAATATTCAGGTGTTCAGAGATTTTGAAGCATTGTGTTTTTGGTAATAATATATTTAAGTATATTAAAGCCTGTTAGGCCCTGATTTGTCTTGCCTAGTAGTTTTCAACTGACTTCAAGGAAGTTTATTAAATGCTGAAGTTGAATAACAAAGAATTTTGTTATTCCAGTGCTCCTGCCTGAAGGTTGATCGCGAAGCGAACCAACTTACTAATAATAATAAGCACATCATTAAATCCTGTATTTGAATGATCACTCCTTTCTTTTTTGTTTGGTCATTGTAAAGTGTAAGTTCAACCAGTTATTTTCCATCATTGTAACAAATCGTGCATTAATTATATTAGCATGTCTACAAAGGCAGCTACATTTCTTTTTATCCCGATCTAACACTAAATTTTCCAATCGTTGAATAATCATGGCTTCATCAGATGATGTGTAACCTTAACATACTTTAAACTTTCATTCAATTATGTTCACCCAGATATATTTCGACCAATTTGTCCATTCAAATCTTTCAGGCATTCCAAATCTAAAGATTCTTAGATCTTCTAGGGCTTCTAGGCATGGTACAACCCTTCTATTCTCATCTTCTCTATTCCTTTTTCTTTTTCAGATGATGGCAGCATTGCTCATTTGGTTAATGCATCTGCCAAGAGTTCTCAGGATTGATAGAGGATATTTTCAATGGCATTTTGTCTCTCAGACACTCTATTACCAAAAACCACATCTTCTGATGGGGCTATTTCAATCGGAGCTGGATGAATGGATGTCCAAATTATTAAACCGTGCAGGCAGTCTCTTAATCCATCAAATATCTAATATTTATGCCATGAAAACTGTTGGAATACTGAAAATACCATGTGTGGACCAACTTTAATCATCAATTCCTTTGGGATCCAAGCTATTCCCTTAAAGTTTTACATGGTAATAGATATTAGCCTATGAGATATTGAACAAGCTAATCCCTCTGAAATAAGCCTGCAGCCATACTTGGGGTCCTTACACATCCCCAGAATTTCTGGAAGTTTATAAGAAAGAAGAAAGGGAAGAAAACTTGGTCTGTTGGACAGTTACCAGTCAGTTACCACCACCTTGTTATTTCAGACGTCAATTTTTTCTCACTGTGATTCCCCATACCAAGCCAGGCAGCCAGCTTTTGCATTTAAGGGATTTCTAAGCAGCTTTAGTGTTGTGTACTTTCAAATGGGATTTGACTTGAATGAAAGACCAAGAGGATTGAGAATTTGGGATCAAGAAGACATAAAAGGACTGAAGTTCAATTTGGACGCCAAGGAGCAAGATTTTGCGATGGGATGAACAAATTTCTAATGGACGCCAAGCAGCCTTGGTGTTGTGTACTTTCTAATGGGATTCTGCATCTGTTTCTGTTGCCAATCAACAACCCAATCGCAAGTCACATCCACATCTAACAGTAAAAAGGATGAACAAATTTCTCAGCACTGGTGGAGCTGGAAGTTGCAGTCTATCTTCGGTAATGGTTGATAGACTCGTCAGAGATGATTCTTAATTGGGCTGCTGTATTCGTTTCCTCATTAGATGCTTATCAACTCTTTCTTGGATTGAACTTTACAACTCAAAAGAGTATCCTTGCCTCCTTGGGACATTAGGTCCAACAGTAAGGGCCCATTTGGTTTGTGAGAATAGGGGGTCTGGAATCGGAACCTGAAAGGTCCAACTTTTTGGTTGGGTGGAAATGAAATCCCATTCCCATTTCTGATGGAATGACATTGGCCATTCTCTTGAACGACATTCCCCAATCAAATCCCATTCTGATTTTGTTTAAACCAAACAAATTATGGGAATAGATCATTCCAATTCTGGTTGTCTATGAATCATTTGGTTTGTAGTTGTAATAGTTATCAGATTTGAAATCCTTTGGTATTAGAATTGGAATAGTCGATTTCTATAATTTATTTGGTTCAGATAGGAATCGGAATAGAAATTGAAATTAACTGGAATGAGATTTCATTTTCAAGGGAGGGGGATGAGAATGGGAACGAGATACCCTCAAATGGGGGAATGTCATTGAGTCATTCCACCGGAAATGGAAATGAGATTTCGGTTCTGTCCAATCAAACAGTTGGAATTAGAATAGACCATTTTGATTTTAATTGCAAACCCCTATTCAAACCAAAAGGGCCCTAAATATTGCCCTCCACATGTGCATTCTTCACAAAGGAAAATTCTGCTGCTCCAAAACGAATCTTCTGAAACACGAAATCATAACTTCGGCCAACCCTTTAAAAGAACAAAGGCTAATTAAGCGCCATTAGTTTTACATTGCTCGTGAAACAATGTAATGTAATCTATCCACACTTTGAAAGTAACGGAGGCAACGCTGCTGGACCTTTGTCACTTTCATTTCCTGGTCACTAACTGCCGTTACTGTATCGACTTGATGGTTAAGGGTGCAAGTCTGGCGGGTTGGGCTGGGTTTATGGGCAACCCAAGCCCAACCCTGAGATTAGAGTCTTAGCCCAAACCTGGACTGAGTTAGAGGTCAAGTCGAATGGACTGAGTTAGAGGTCAAGTCGGACATTTGAAATCTAATCTTAAAATTTGGGCTAAGGCCCAAGCCTAGACTGAATCCGAGGTCAAGTCCGATCTTACTAACTTGGCTCAATCCGCGTTATAATTTGATGCATTTAGGTTGGATTCAGATTGGTTAATAATTTGTGTATATATAATCAGGTTAGGACAAGATAGAGTAGGTTCAGATTATCTAATGCTATGTTTGGTTTGAAAGAAAAAGTAGGAAAAAGAAAAGAAAGGGAAGAAAATCTTTACAAACCTTGTATAAATTTCTTTACCTTTCCTTTCCTTTTCTTTCCCTACCTTTTCCTTCAAACCAAACATGGCCTAAGAGTTAGGTATAAGCCCATACAACTAAATATGAAATCCAATCCGAGGACAAAAAATCTCGGGCTGAGTTGGTCCGGTCGGTGCGGCCTCGGATTGGGCCCGCCCAAGTTGCACCCATGTCGATGATGTCCTTCGTGTCTTACTGCCGTTATCACGCCGTCGTCGACTCGCTATCACTATTGGTCCCCGTCAGCAGAGCAAGGGTGCTTTGCTCTGATGCTTCATGATTCCATCAGATTGTTACAGAGGGTAAAAGGAAAGGTCGAAGCGTCGACCTAAATAAAGCCGTGAAGCATCTGATTTATATCTGATCAGAGAGACCCACCACACCAAAACCAAAACTATCCAGACACTCAATCCTTTCCCCCCCAAAAATTTGCTACCGTCTCTTCTCAGCGACCTCGTTGAAGGCATAGCGGAAACCTCCTCAGCTCAGAAAAATCAAAGGGTCGAGCAGATCATCAATGGCAGAAGACTTTGAAGAAGAGAAAATGGAAGAGGAGGAGCAAAAGGGCTCCTCCGACACCTGGGCTTTGCTAAGGCGATTGATGAGCAAGAGAAGAACATGGGTTTGTCTGTTCGTGTTAGTCTATGCTCTTCTGCTGTCTTCCTCATGGAACCTCCTTCGGTCCATTCTTTCCTGGTACAACTCCAACTCCGACGGTGCTGCTGGTGCTGGGTGGCCGGCCCTTTACGCCTCGGTCCTCTTCGGAGCTGTGTTTGGCCTTCTTTCTATGGTGGCAGCCCTGGCCGTTGCCCTGCCCGCCATGGTTCTCACATGGATTACTGTGCTGGTGCTCCTTACTTTCTGCGGCAAGCCCCAGCGATCTCTGGTGCTGGAAGGGAGGAAGATCACGACAGATATTACAGGGTTTGTCATCAAGATTGTGATTAGGGAAGGGAATATCGTGGCCGCCTTCTGTGCGTTTCTTGGGTACTTGGTGCTTGTGAGGAGGATAGGCGAAGACGATTGATTCTCTCGATTCCACGGCTTTTCATTTTTCTTTCTTTTCTTAGTAATTTCTTTTAATTTTTCCTTTCTTTCTTTCTTTCCCTCCTTCACTTCAAAATTCAAATAGGGTTAGTTAATGGCAGCTGATCTTGTAGTCTATCTTCTGTTTTTCTGGTAATACACGACTAATATGAAATCCAGAAAATTTTGGGCATCATCGATTTGATCGGGGGATTGTATAATTTGTATGTGTGAGTTGAATTTTCCAGAAGTAGGGTTCATCGCTTATTGACTTTGGTCTGTGCTGTGCTTAGGTTCTTTAGGACAGGAGTAGGTAGAGCCCAAACAACCAACCTGACCAAATTTATGATTGATTGGTGCTTGGGTATGATTTGTTTGTTGAAGAGATAAGAGTTTTCTCTCTGCAAAGAGAAAACGTAAATCTGCTTAACAAACAAAGAATATGTCCCTGAAAAACTTTCCCGCCCCACTTCCCCTTCTCTTTCCCGGCGTATCTGTGAAAAAACTTTCAATTGCATAAGGGAGAAGAAACACAAGACGTAGATGGATTATGTGCATAACGCATAGCTTTAGATAACGAAAATCAGAAACGTGACTAATATTCTTAGTTTTTCTTTTTGGTTTAGTTTCAATCACTGTTTTGACTTTTTTTTTTCTGGAAAATTTAGTCCATTTCCATTGTATATTTATTATAATTTCTAATATTTAAGCATATGCTCTCCTTTATAGTTCTAAGACTACCTGCATCTCTTTAAAAGCCCTTCAAAAACTGTTTAAAAAGAAGAATGAAAAGTAAAACAGAGTCGTGTATGATTCAACCAGAGATTGCTGTTGATCACTTCATAGATGGAGAGAGAGAGAGAAGGATCCGTTGAAATACTTAAGATTCCCCTCATCGTCTTGGTCAAAGACCCAAAGTCGCTATCCTCGTCGTGAGATCTTCCATCACCGAATTCTTCATAGTCGTCGACGGATTGGCTGTTGCTTATCACGAGTCGGCCACGAGCCAACCCACGAAACTGGCCTGTGCAAAGGGTAAAAGATGATGAGGAACAAGATTTATCAGAGCTGCCATGGTTTTCGGCAAATGAAAGAATAGTGACGAGGCTCCATCATGGGAGATGCTGTTGGGCGCATATGTGAATTTTAATAGGAGAGTTCAAGATTTAAGGTTTAAGGTCTGAATCAGATATAAAGAGAGGTGTTCAACTATGGTAACAACACGTGGCAAATGAAAAGCAATGGAAGCGTGGGATTTTGTCATATCTATCCCAGGTGCAAACCTGGATAGAGTCGAGGACTTGCGCATCCTAGTAACCGTGTCCTGACTCATCAGACCCAGTAACAATACATTCCGGGATTGAAACCCTTTTCAACATTTTGGTCGAGGTCGTTACAAGTAATTACATCACAGCATTGGCTTTCCATAAGATTGTTCCAAGGGCTGGAATTCGTTGACAGCAATTATTCAAACAGCAACCTCACATTGTTAGGGAAAATTCTCACTGACAAAAAATAAAGAGTTTCAAACCTTTGCCTCTTTTAGAGACTCCGATTTTTTTTTGAATAGAAATCGATTTGTTATTGTTCATTTTTTATCAATATTTAGATGATTAGATGACACTCAAAATGCATTTGTATCTTTTCAAATGACACGTAATGGTAAATACTAGATTGACACATTATAAAAATTCAGATACTGAATTATTGCGTTTTAAAATCCAGAGACAAAAATGACACTAGACCCAAAATACAAGATGCTAATCGGAAAATTTCCCTTGTTTTTAAGAGGCTTAAGCCTTAAAAATATGAGACATACACCATGAGGCAAGGTGCATAAATTTTGCCTCAAGACTTTCAGCATTGCAACATTTTGAAGCTTACTATAATGCCTCAACTTTCATTTAGCCTTTTAAAACCTTGACTCTACGTATATATATTTGGATTTCATAGCCATGCTTTCCATGTATTCTACCTACATATCCTAATACACCTCTTAAAATTATCTTTACCATAATTTTGATGTTTTGAAATTTCAAACCTTGAAAAAAAAGGGATATTAAAAATTTTACAAGCACAGAAATATAAGGTTAGAGAGGATAAGCGACTGTAATCCTTGTTTTCCAAAGAGTACAACCTTGACTAGTTGATATACCTTTTGCGGCAACTTCATATCCACAAACCGCTAATTGGGACAAATCTCAAAAGGAACTCTGTTGCTTTCTTTTGTTTTAAGCCTCGTTTCTATTTTCTATGCTATCAGTGAATCATTTTCCATCACAAACATCCAAAGCAACAATATGAATATAAAAAGAAAATAAAATAAGAACTACATACATCAGCAGGGTATCCATTCAGTGCCTTAAGAGAACACTATCCACCAAGGCACAAACTAACATCCATTCTTCCTTCTGGTGCTAGTTTTTGGAAGGCTAACTTGGACATGACGACCTCGGTGCCCACGCTGGTCTGGCAATGGTAGGGGACTCGCTAGACTAATTCTTTGCTTGAAACAAACTCCTCTGGCTAACCTTGCCCTGGATGCGACCACCTCAATGCCTTGCCAACTATGTGAATCGTGTGAATCTCAATTTGGGTTAAGAATAATAAAAAATTCAGCTGCAACAACCAATGTTGTGGAACAGTTGAAATCCTCTGGAACAATCAGGGCCTGGACTGGGCTTTCAAACACATCCAGAGCCAGGATAAAGGAACAAAGGAACTACCACATCAACGTGCTCAGATATCATCTGGACGAGAAAAAAAAATCCCGGCACCCTCATTCTGGAAAGCATGTTACCTCAGACGCAGGTTCAGGATCACCACTGAAGAGCACCTTTTTACCTGAGTGGTGGTTGTCTGGTTGATATTGCCAAGAAGTCGGAATCGTGTTATAGAAATAATTTCTTTCATTTTTACACAAGTTAACCCTCCACAGTTATGGACATGATAGGAAGCTATTATTACTGGCCATCGCCACATAAGATAGAAACTTTTTCTTCATTCCCTTTAAAAACATGCACACAATATTTAGGTAAAAATACCATATGGAGATAAATAACTTCAAAAATCACTGACCAGTGGATAAGAAACATCTTCCGGTCAAGTGCCAATATTCATCATCATCTAAGCCTTCTCCCAAACTATGTGGTCAGCTAATGCTGTGTTTGGTTTCAAGGAAAAAGCAGGGAAAGGAAGGGGACGGTAAGGAAACCTATACAAAAATTGTAAGGCTCCGTTTGGTTTGTGGGATGGGGATGAGAAAAAGGGAATATTCCAAACATATTCCCTTTTCTCATATTTGTTTTGAGGAAAAGAGTGGGATGGGGTGAGAAAAAGGTGGGATGCTAGGTCCCAAAATCAAAGATTCGGAGTCGCACCAAAACTGTGCGACCCCGGTGGAAAAACTCGAGAAAACTCACGACTGTCTTCATCCTCGTCGCCACTGCTGGTAATTGCCACCATTGCCACCACTGCCAGTAACAGGTCTGCTGGTAATTGCCACCTTGACGGGAATGATGAATTCAAAATTCCTTAAATAGTACGAACGATAAAAAACGAAAGTAAACAGAAAGATAAAGAACAGAAATAGAAGGACCGACAGAGAACCAATGCCTGACCTTTGTTGAGAACTCTCTCCGTCAGGACAAGATTAATGTCGGATTTCTGATCAGAGATGTTTATGAGAGTCGCCGCACATCCGTGATATGGTTTCCCCTTACCAAACGATCTTTTCTGCTGAAATCCCTCCATTTTCAGGCATACAATTACAAAAGCAGAACCGCAGGATAGGAACCCAGATAGTATATCCCGGAATAACATGCTGATCTCAACAGAAAAAGCCCGGAAGAATAGTAGGAAGTCATGATAAGAAACCCTCGATTTTTATCTTTACTTATAAACCCAGAGGGGAAAAAAAGACAAAGAAAACCCGTATCTCGTAATTAACCATGTAGATACAAAGGATTGGATATCTACTGTGAAGTGTAGAGAAATGAAATGGGTTAGAGACGACGATGAATAGTAGAAACTGATGAGAAAGTAATAAAAGCTCCTTCTCCTCCTTCTCTGTGTCTGTGTGGTTCAACTTTACTTTTTTTGAAACTGTGACATGTAACACCGTTGATGACGATGGTAGGCATTCACCAGCGATGAGGGCGGATTGAACCTCCGAGATCTCTGTTTCGTCTTCATCCTCCCTCTGCGGATTGAACCTCCGAGACCTCTGTTTTGTCTTGGATGATTTTCATTCTATTTTCCCATGTAAAACCAAACACTGGAAAGTTAAATTTTTACACTTTTCCATCCCAACCCATCCCATCCCATCCCATCTTTTCCCATCCCACCCAAATCTTTCCACAAACCAAACGGAGGCTAAAGGTTTCCCCATCTTTCCCTTCCTTTCCCTACCTTTTCCTTCAAACCAAACATAACCTAAATGATTATCTGCCATTCGGTTCTATGCCATATTCCATTGTTTAGTGTCAATAGGACGAAAGTTAAGAATAAGTTCCATATTTTCATTATTTTGCTGGAAGAACAACATACCCACCTGAACCTCTTCCATCTCTTTCTACATTCGCTGCATATCAGATGGGCCCACCTATCCATACACATGAACATGGACAGTATAGATGATTTCATTATTTTGCTGGAAGAACAGCATACCCACCTGAATCTCTTCTCTTCCATCTCTTTCTACATTTGCTGCATATCAGAAGGGCCCACCTACCCATACACATGAACACTGAACAGTATAGATGATTTCATTATTTTGCTGGAAGAGCAACATACCCACCTGAATCTCTTCTCTTCCATCTCTTTATACATTTGCTGATATCAGATGGGCCCACCTACCCGTACACATGATGAACACTGAACAGTATAGATTATTTCATTATTTTACTGGAGTTTACAATCATACCTACCTGAATCTCTTCCATCTCTTTCTGCATTTTCTGTATATCAGATTGGTCCACCTACCCATACACATGAACATTGGACAATATGCATGATTCCATAATCCATACAGACCCATTTTCAACAAAACATAAGCTGATCAAAAGAGGTACATGAAGTACTAGATACCCTTGCAACAATTCAAGTTGCTATATACTTCGGCTCAGTAGGATGCATGAAAAGTTAGCATTAAAGGACTTGTATCATTTCCTTGCCTTGAACCTCATATTCATATTTATGTGTGCATAACATTAAGGCACAAAGTGGTTATTATGCAAGGAGGAAGCACATAAAACCATTCAAGCATTTAGATGACAAAGACATTCATTGGAAACCTAGAAACAATCATTAAAAAATTAAGGAAAATTCATTTTATGTCGGTTATAAAACAATCAAATGCTAATCTATGTGTGTACTTTTAAGGAATTAGGCCAGGGAAGAAACACAGTAAAACATCAGTTGAAACTTTCTTGAAGAATACAAAAACAATAAAAGTATGTACTTAATGCCTACGCTTGCAGCATTATATAACTGCTTATATTCACCATTACTTTTATGCACAGGTATGAAGTCTACAACTAGTAACAACAGAAAACTGGGGAGGTTAAGTTACCCTTACAATCACTCACCGCTAACTACAGGTACCTTCTCATAAGAGGCAGGTTTTCTATATCTTGAAGGAAGGATGCAACGACCACCAAACTGCTGCTGCAAGTAAATGAGAAGGGCAAACAGCAAACCACCACAAGGGATAATGACATCCCAGGCAGTGGAGTAAAAATCTGCACCAGGATTAGCATAGATGTATGATACACCAAAGTAGGGTACATATCTGTGGGCCCTATAAAGATCATATGCATGTGGTAACAGACGGACAGCAGTAGTTCCAACATAAAATGATGGTGCAAGAGCCTTTTCTCTTGAGTTCCAGAATAAATTGAGCAGGATCTGAGGGAGTAGAAAACCATCTAGGACCAAACCAGCATAAGACCTCAGGTCTCCCAAGAGAGAATGTCGTTGATAATCAGCAACAAAGCGTGCATGGGATACTGGAGCCTCATAAAAAGTCTTCCACCACTGCACAAACCAAGCAATCAGCCCCCCAACCACATATAATGGTAGTGACACAAAAAGAGCCCTCTTCTCAGCAACCCACAATTCCTTTGTGCTTCCATCAACCAATCTTGAGGACCATGTCAGTTGGAGAAGACGGAATTGCATTAGGAAAGCTACCATTGTAACTACCCTTACTATCACTTCATTCACTTCAAGCCATCCACCACTTCCTAGCAGTACATTTTGCCGGTTGCGGTTTGCCAAGAATAAGGCCTCAAAGTTTAGTACTAGAGGGATCATGTGGCCCAGGGTAAGAACCACAAGCATCACAAGGGAGATAAGTGGAAGCACATCAGGGTTCCTTTTCACATAAAGCAACTGTAATCCCACAAATACACATGCAAAAGTATTAGATATCAAAACCATGCTGATCTCCAGATCCATCCTCCAGATGGATTCCCCTGCTTCTTTTGTAGCAATGGAGGTTGAAGACAACTCTAAAGGTTTGAAGAAAAGAGGGTCCGATGATCTCCTTGTGCTTTTGATGGTTCCCTTGATGTAACCTCCACTCTTAGCATTTAATGAAGGGAATTGGACATTGATGAGAAGTTCACAGTCCAAGGAAGCATCTTTTGTTAATTTCTGATGGTTTGAGCCCAGATACCGGCAGCCCACCATACATAGGCTTCCAGTCTTTGTATCATAGACCCCTTCAGCCGAAATTTCTATAGCATCAGTTGAAGGACTACCATCCAATTTGAAATCAGATGGTGCTGTGAAGCTTATAACATAGCTGACATTCAGTAGGCTGCCTTGACTGGTTTTATTGACTGCAACTGCAGAGTTTGCTGGTGTTGAGAAAGGAACAGAATAGCTGTCATAAAACCGATCACCAATATAGAGTGGGGTTGAATAACCCCATGCCAATTTTCTTTGGGTATTTTTCACAGACATGTCAAATCTCATGTCATACGAATGTCCACCAGGATACTGCTTTCCTTTGCTCTTAACATCTTTGTTCTTTGTACACATGTTCCTTGCACTTTCAGTTTTTGTGTATTCATATCTCATACCTGCAATCCCCACTATTCTGTTCTCAAAACTCTTAAACATAATCCTATTAAAATAAGCCGAACTATTCATGGTTCCATTATGCCAAAGTTGTCCTAGGACATGACTCCTGTTTCTAATTGACAAGATTGCATTGAATCTCAAGGTCAACCTAATTGAGCAATCCCCAACAGAAGCATCAGCCAGAGAACTGTTAAGATTCAAGATCCGACAGGCCACAATGCACAGTTGATTATTCTCTGCATTCCATGTTCCTTCAGCAACCAAAGTGGTGTTGGGATCTAAAAGATGGTTATACCCGTAATAGCTAGTATTAGAAAACACTAATAATAATCGCAACCTTTGCTCATCTGAACACTGGGCCGTGTTGAAGGACATAAAGCCAGGCAAAAACCCAACACTCCTAGGAAGGGGACTACAATTCTTACCAGGATCACAGTCACTTCCATACTCCAATTTAACCACATTAGCAAGCCTATGGAGCTTCTTGCAAACACTTCTACCCCGCTGTAAACCAAGGGATGAATTCTCCTGATCACCATCCGCACTTGGACATACAATTCCATTTTCTTTTGAAGTAAATGAATACTCGTAGTTCTTCTCAGCGAAGGCCAGCATGGAAATTGGTTCGAAATAATTCAAGCTACCGATCGAATCCAAGCTCTCTACGGTTCCACTAACCAGACTACTTACAATGGTCGAATTCTTGGGATAGTTAAGCTTAAAAACAGCCGAAAGATCGAGTAAGTTACCTTCTTTCGAGTAACCAGAACCAGATCCGACCATACAAAGTTTCCCAGTAGTCTCTGACCAAAAGCCCCGAAGAGAGAAACGCACACCACCTCTCCGGATAGGAAAACGAGGTGGACGAGGCCGAAGCCGTGCATAGAGCTTTCTACCATGAGTTTCGTTCCCCAGAAAAGCGTACATGTTTACGGCTTGGAAGGTCAAACTCCCGTCGATCTTGTAGACACCTTCGGTATCGGTTGCATATGTAAGCCCGCTGTGAAAGGAGAGAGCTTTCGGGAAATTAAAAGGGGAGGATGGATTTTGCCCTAGAATTTTATCGCCACCGGTGTAGAATCCGTTCCTCAACTCGAGAACTCCGGCGGTGGAGATTCGCTGAGGACCATTGGTGGTGGGTTGGGGTACGATCGAATCACAGTGATCGCTGTAAGAGAGTCGAGAAGCCGAAGAAGAAACGGAGGCTGCACAGGCGATATTGAAGAGGAACAACAAGATATGAATCCATAGCAGTTGATTCCTCTGTAAGGAGATCAATGAGAAACCCAGAACCCTAGCCCCAAATTTCTTCAATGAATGGTAAGACCAAGCAAACTCAGTCGCCATTCGTCTGCCTCTAACGTCTAAAGCACTGCATTCAATCATCCATCAATTTATAGGTAGGTCTCTCTCTCTCTCTCTTCTGTGTGGAATCTCTGATTAAAATATGGAGAGACTAATTAACTTTCAGGTCCCTGCCGGCCGATGGAGATGTTCCTAATACACGGTTGGGATGTGCGTGACGCGGCTTTGTGGAGCGCCATCTGTGTGGCGCAGATGTGAATCATGATCCACGGAAAATTAAATGATTCCTTCCATGGAGCCCACGATAACAAAATATTAATTCCTTATGTAGAAAATTCCTTTTACGTAGAATCGTGTAGGCGTATCAGGGTAGTACAATAGGACTGGATTTATTAAAAACATAAACCTTTGTTAGATAATTTTGTAATATTAGAGAAGAGTGGGGTCTGATGTGACGTGGCAGTGTAGAGGACGCCGTCAACTGAAGACCTGGAATTAGTTTTTTCCCACCAAACAGAAAAATGCAAAGAAAACAATAAAGAGAGGAAAGCAGAAAAAGGCGGGCTTACGAATTTCCCATTTCAGCCTTGGCTTTTTTGCTTTATATGAGTGGAAATGGTTGAGACTTGAAAGTGTTCATTCAATTCAGCGAAGTGCAGTCTGTGGAGAGTGCCGACATGATTCAGCTTTGCCATTTCGTAGTGCTTTTTTTTTTTTTTAATATATTATAGTGCGTACTGCGTAGTTACTAGTTAGGGTGCAAATGTATCGGATCATGGTCCGGTCTGATCCGAATCCAATCATGTTTTCTGTATCGGATTTTTAGCTCGGATAATATCATCCAATTGAAAATTGGATCGAATTCTGATCACTCTTTATCCGATCTAATCCGAACTATATATTATATTGTACTTTTGTATTTTTTTATAAAAAGATATCTATATATTAATATATATGATGAAAATAGTTGGAAAAATATTTGTATTTTTATTTTTTTATATAAATTATTATATTTTTATTAAAATTCTTCAGAAATGAAATTGGATCAGATCGAATCTCGGATTTATATTACTAGATCAGATTCAAATATACCCCGATTTAAATCCAATCTAATCCGTTTGCAATCCCTATGCCTAGTGGAGAATTTGCTGGGTTGGGGGCTGCAAACATATCTGAGATTGAATCAAATATAAGCATATCTAAATTTGATTTATTTACATTCGAATTTGAATCGGATCATATTTAACTGATTTGAATCAAATTTGAATTAGAATCAGAAATTAAATAGTATAAATAAATTAGACTAAAAATGACCAAAATATTATATATTATTATTCTTTGTAAGCAAATGAATTAAAAAAATACTTGTATAAAACTTGAACATATAACAATTTAGTGAAAATACAACATCAATACCAACTTCAATGATAAGTATAATACAATAGGATCGAATATTCAATTATAAACCGATCGAATTCAGATCGCCCCTAAATAGCATCAAATTCAAATTCAAAATCAGATAATCGGATACCATTTGCAGCCCTAGGGTTGGCCACGTGATACGGTGATAGATGAGTAATCTTTTTTTATTCCCGGTCTGGCTAAAGTTTTGTGCTCCTGGTTGGACCAAAGTAAATGATAATTCCTCTACAAATAGCTTTTTTAAATGCAAAAAGAATTGTATAAATTGGATTTAAATTCATCGTCAACTAGATTGATGCGTGTCAACTGGAACTTGCCTGCTGCTTGGCATGAAACATGCCTCTGAGAAAAGCGGTTTGAGGTAAAAGATAATTTGTGCCCTTGGAGAGTTTTTTTGGACCTATGAGCTATCTATGTTGATGCTTGCTATATTCATATGGGTCGAACCAGCTGCCGGTCCAATAATGTGAAGTAGAAAACACTGATTCATCAAGTTAGAAAAATTAGTCACTTCATTAACAACTGTTTTTCTCTCTCTAGATTAGGCCACCATCTGTTTAAAAATGAAGTGTTTACAGAAATGGCCATGTCAGAAATCTGTGATGCATCAGTATGTTCCTAGATTCCATGCATTTTTTGCTAATGTGCATCAGAAATTTTAAGCAAGCAATAAGATGGAATTAGATAAAAAAAAAGTGCTGAATTTATAAATTAATCCAGAATAATTGCATGTTTGCAACATCCCACAAATCCTAATATGTATGTAATAACCAGAAAGACGCTGCGACTTCTGCCATATCTACACGTATTTACAAGTTAATTATAATTATATGCTCAGAGTATTTGCCAACAACCTATTCCATCAAAAACTGGGACATCCAAGTGAATGCCCTTTCATGCAAACTGACCTCAGTTCCATTTACCCAAACTAGATCCTAGCTTTAAATATGCAATCCCCAACTTAGTGTTGGATTAGAGGCATTAGGCAGTGCCAACGTTAGTGCTGTACTCTGTCCCACCAAACTTGGTATTTTGTTCTGTCCCTCCTTGCTATTGTCTATCGAAGGAAGGAACTGCTCACAGTTCTTGCTTCCATTTCTGGAGAACGCCGGAACAAGCAACTTCACAATATCAGCCACATTTTTCCTAAAATTCATTGAACAGCTCTTGTCACCCTGGTCAACGTCCTGTATTCCTCCTCCAACAAGACACCCTACTTGAGCACCATGCATATATGCTTTACAAGCCACCAGAATATAAAGTGCATTTTTGCGGAAATGCCCTTTCACATAGTCCTCAAAATGCTGCAGAAAGAGTCCAGTGGTTCAGATTATAGTCTAGTCCGAGAAACACAAATGGAAAAGGAAGAGTCAAATACACATCACAGTCCCAGAAGCTCAAATGCAAATGCGAGTGTCACAATTTAAAATCCGCATGGTCCACTGTCTGTCCATCCAATACACAAATGGATGTTACTAAGATCTCATATCTGTGATGTAACACAGCACAAATTTTCATCACCAGGTTGATGACTAATGGCTGACACAGAGGTGAGCTTTTAGTCCAGGTAGGGGGCAATCTGATATTAAAAGGTCAAGTGCTACGGTTCTATAGCTCGAGTTCAATAACAAATAGGGAATGCAACTTGAAGCAAGTTTGAGTTGCACTGGGCTGAGGTCAATATCAGCTTAATCTTAAGCGTTTGATCTTCCTTGATCATGTTAATATTCTTCTATTCAAGTATTCATGGTTAAGGGCTCAATATGCTGATAATATCAATTTAATTTGTTTGTAGTAATCCAAGATTGCATTATTAATAACAATTAAATAAACATGATACATTATATAACACAGGGACATGCATATACAGTCCAAGATTGTCTGCCCAGGTTGCCTAGGGCGCCAACCTTACCCTAAACTCATGTCAAAGGGAGAATTATGCTCATATTCTGTCTTCATAGACCAGGCTTCCTTGTCGTGGAGCAAAAAACAGGATTACTGAGCATAGTTAGTGCAATGGTCATACCTTTGGTGGATTTCTTAGCGAGTATAACATTGTCCTGCATGAAAGGATAAATGCATTCTCACTATACTCAAGGGACATCTGTTCGGCATATGGCTGCCCAGCTGTAGATGCAAATCCAGGCTCATTGAAGTAGGGTTTCGCATTAAGAACCAAAGCTTGGATAGATACCAGAACTTGTAGTGCAGTTGATTTCTTCGGGTCCCATCTCTCATTCTTGCTCCCATGCCAAGTGTTCAGAAGGCTGAGGCAGACTTTACCGCAATTGTACAAGTTTGGGTTCAATCGGAGCCCTCCAGAATGGTAGTACACCTCCTGACAGCAACAAAAAACAGATCCAGTTTCCCTTTACTTTTTTTTGTAAGAGATCTCATAGTGATCATTTTTTCGTCAAAAACATACCGGTGGAATACTAGGATATCTGGAAGGAAAGAAAACATCAAAGAAGAAGAGACCATCATGATATGGAGTTCCTGCAGCTCCCACAATGACAGCCCTCAAGAGATCCATCCTCGCTTCATATACTCTTACAAATATTGCATCTGTCAAAATTAATACAAAATAAAAAACAGATAAGTTCCTGCTGCCATTTGGGAGTGCTTATTGGAAAAATAAGTGCTTATAGGAATGGCACTGAGTGTTTGGTGAAAAAATGCTTCTTTCAAATGGGGGTCGTATAGGTATATCAAAAATTTCATGACAGGCCGGGCCAGAAACACAAAAAAATGAGCTTGAAAAAAAGGCAAAATTTTGGCTTATTTAAAACGGGCTTATTTCCTGAAAAAACACTTATTTAGGCTTATTTCCAGCACACATATAAGTGCTTAAAAATAAGCATTTCCAAACAGGAGCTAAACCATGTAGGAAGAAGCAATTGAAAATTTAATGAGCTCCGTCCTAGATTCTATCTTGTCTTTACTTGAGTAGGGAGAAACAATTTGAGTTTTACTCTGTTGGATGGTAGATCAGTGGCTTAAATTCTGGTCTTTTGTAAAACCTTGGCAAGGTTGAACCATAAAGAAGAAAATAATTGGTGATGTCCCTCTATATGGCCTTGCTAAAGGGATTGCTGAACTCAGAGTCTGGCCACATTTTGGTGTAGCTAGGTTCCTCATAAGATCAAGGCCCATACGTGATTGGTTTCCTAGATGAAGGTCCTTCCATTTGTCTTCATAGTGAGTAAAATCTGCGCATGGTGGAGGTGTCAGGTGTCATTTGATCAGTTGGTGGAGTTCTGACTCTTGATCTTCCACTATTGTTCCTTATGCTATTTTCTGGAGCAACTCTTTTTTTCTTTTCTTGTTTTTTTTTCTTAGGGGGGCGGGGGGAAGGGGGGTTGAAGAAAGCAGATCACAAAGGGTGGTGCAAAGTAAAGAAGATGTGTAATGACAGAATAAGGAGAAAAGATATTGTATAGTTGTTTGGTAATTTGGTAAAATGGGTGGTCATATCCATATGAAGGATAAAAGCTATTAAGTTATAAGGAGAAAAAAACCCCTTACCCATACACAGACAAGTTATAGATAAGCAATGCCCAACATAGCCTATATAAATTCTTTTAATACAAGCACTTGTTTACTGAATTTTCTTCCACTTACCAGGTAAACCAGCTTCCAGGATCTTCCACTCTTCCTGAATTTTCTTTGTCCAAGCACTTGTTAGCTGTCATAAAAAGAAAGTACAGAATATGTTACCCTTGATCAAAAGTTTTGTGTGGGAAGTGATAAAAGGGTTTTAGGGTGATAAGGCTCCAGATCTGGATGGGTTCACAATACTGTTTTACAAGAAGTGTTGGGAAATTGTGAAGATGAACGTGTTGAATGTGTTAAGTGAATTTCATGAAAGGGATTCTCTAAGAAGAAGCCTAAATCACACATTCATCACCTTAGTTCCGAAAAAGAAAGGGGCAGTGAAGCTGGCAGATTTTAGATCAATTAACCTAATTAGTAGCTTGTACAAGATATTAGCTTAAGTGCAAAGGTGATGCCAAATCTGATTGCAGAATCTCAAGGAGCTTTTATAGGGGGCAGGATGCTAGTGGATGGGGTCCTCATTGCAAATGAGTTAATAGATTCAAGGAGAAAAAGTGGAAGAGCAGGTCTGTTATGCAAAGTGGATATGGAGAAGGCATATGACCATGTAAACTGGAATTTTCTTGACTATATGCTGAAGAGGTTTAATTTTGGAACGTTTAGAAGTGAATGGTAGCACTTGTGGAATGTTTAGAAGTTCTAGGGGTCTGAGACAAGGGGACCCTCTCTCCCCTCTTCTGTTCATTTGTGTGACAGAAGCCCTGTACAGGATGGTAGAAAGAGAACAATTGGGAGGAATGCTGGAAGGTTTTAAAGTAGGCAGTGGGGAGGTGGAGATAGCTCTTCTTCAATTTGCAGATGGCACATTATTTTTCTGTGACGCCTCTTGGGAACAAATCTGGAATGTGAAGGCAATATTAAGATGGTTTGAGGTGGTATCAGGCTTGCATGTCAACATCTTGAAGAGTGAATTAATGGCTATGGGGGAAGTGTTAAACATGGAAGAATGGGCAGATGACTGGGGATGTAAAATCGGAAAGCTTCCTTCTAGATACTTGGGCATGCCTCTGGGAGAAAGTTGTAAATCCAAATCTATTTGGGAACCTATCTTGAAGAACTGGAAGAAAATGCCACTTGGTGAATTGGAAGAAAATCTGTTGTTCAAAGAGAAATGGGGGCCTAGGGATCAGATCAGTAAGAGAGGTAAACACAGCTCTTCTTGGTAAATGGCTATGGAGGTTTAATGAACAGACAGAAGGTTTATGGAGAAGGCTGATAGTAGCCAAATATGGGCTAAGTAGCAGGGATATGCTCAAACTTGAAGGCCATACAAAAAATCCAGCCCCAGTTTTTCAAGGGAATAAAATACAAAGTGGGAAATGTAGGAGGGTTCTCTTTTGGAAGGATAACTGGTGTGAAGAGGGCCCCTTAAAGAATGCTTTTCAGGACCTGTTTGAAATCACCACAAACAAAAATGCAACTGTTGCTGAATGTTTGGAAAGGCAGAATGGCCATTGCTCTTGGAACCCTCAGTTCAGGAGAAATTTAAATGATTGGGAGGTGGCATCTCTAATCAGATTGCTCCAGCTTCAGTATGACTCGAACATATCTGGAATAGAGGAAGATAAAAGTGTGTGGAGCTTTGAGAAATCAGGTGTGTTCTCTGTAAACTCGTTTTTTAAAGCAGTTACAAAGGAGGAAGCTATCTCCTTCCCAAGTCAAAGAATATGGGTTAGAACTGTGCCTTCAAAGATAGCTTTTTTTTTTGTTGGTCAGCAGTGCTGGATAAGATTCTAACCAAAGACAATTTTGTCAAAAGAGGGTTAGAAGTGGTGGACATGGCAAGTCCCCTATGTATTGGGAACGTGGAATCATCAAGTCATCTAATGTTACACTGCAATTTTACTCACTAGATGTGGTTAAGAGTAGTGGAATTATTTGGTGCTAAGGCTATGTTTCCCAGCAGATGTTAGGGGACTCATAGAGGCTTGGTGGCTGAATGGTCTGAGTAAAGCTGGAAAAGTGGCTTGGAGCATTATTCCTGCAACTGTTCTGTGTGTGGAGTGAAAGAAATAACAGATCATTTGAAGGAATTATATACTCAAAAGATGTTCTGAGGAAAATTCTGGGGATGATCCACTCATAGCTGACTATACACCTGTTGTTTAAAGGCAGACATCCAAGTGCTTTTTTTGAGTTTAATTTTTTGTTTGTAAGGAGTAGTTTTTTGTTTGGGGGATTGAGGCTGTACTGGGCTGTTTTGGTTTTTTTGTATATCCTCTGTTCATTTCTCTTTGTACCGGGGTTTCTATAGTTGATTTTTAATGAAATCACTTTACTTTACAGTTATCAAAAAGAATATGTTATCCTTATACCAGGAAAGATTTAAAGACAGAACAAGAAGAAGTTTGTTTCTCAAACTAGAATACCTTCTCTGTTGTTGAGCCTTTATTGACATAGTGATGGTCTGAATAATTTTCAACAGTATCAAATCGTTTGAATAGTCTATACTTCTTCAGAACTTCATCTTCCTCCACTTCCACTTTCTTGCTAGAACTTGAGATTCCAGGGACTATTTTAGTAGTAGCTTCCTTCTTTTTAGCTTCTAAATGGTCATCCAACCAGGGGATTGATGCTTCTACCCCAGGAGGGATGTCCATGGCATCAAATTGAGCTTGCAAAGTCAAACTATCATCATAATCTACCAAGTCATCATCATAATAATCTGTTAAATCAGTCTCGAAATCATCTATATTGACTGGATTCTGTGATTGTGGCCCAAAGTTGCTTGTAGGATACGGAGGAACTTCATTCATCAATCCAAGATCTGTTGCAGTCGCTGGGTACACAATATCATTGGCCAAAGCATCCTGGAAAGTTCAACATAGTTATATGGCAATTTGTGTGAGGATTACTGGAAGGAAAATGGTGGCTAGTGAAGCTATTTGTGGGGAGTAGTGATTGTATACCATGATTTGTTTCCAGTTGTCATATCCATCTTTTATTGCCTTTCCCTTCCCCTTGTTACTCATGTCAATTGTCTCTTTGAAGGTCAAAAGTTCAGATGGTTCATCCTCATCAATTTCAATTATGTCATGGGGAACAACCTAGAAACAGAGATCATCACAACCTTGTTCCTGATTATACTTATGATGCATCATCAAAGAAAAATAGCTTCAAAACCTAAAGAAAATTTAGGAGACATGGCACAGATTGTATTAGCAGTAAAGACTGAACTGGTTCTGTTCAACATAAAGATAATCTTAGGGGTATTATGGAACTTCTGGGTAGATGAATAATCATAATCCTAGAAACAGCTATAATTTAACATACCAAATTAAACAGCATTTATCAACTTGTGTAGGATAAGTTAAATTTTAAATTTTTATCAACTTGTGTAGGATGTGTTAAATTTCAAAATTTTAACAACACAAAATCCAAAGAAGAAGAAGAAGAAGAGAGAGAAGGCCCCTGATCAACCCTAGAGGCTAGAACAACTAAATTCAGACACCTGAACAACACCAAGAATAACATCCATGTAAACCAGTATTACAGACTTGAACTCTGTTCCTGCAAAGTTCCAACAACAGCACCTCTTTTCAGTGATCTCTTTCAGACAAAAGGCTAGAATCCCCACAATTCTGAGAAACTGTAACCACATTCTATAGTAGAGAACTACAAAAATCAACAATTTCACAGGAAAAAAGGCAGATAAGCTTATTAGTTTTCATACTCCATAGCAATACAGAATATATGAATAAAATGCTAAACAAGTTCTATTGAGAAACTGTCACCTATCTCCATCAACATGGCTTACATCAAATGTTGAACACCCCACACAAAGTTTTAGACATTGGAAGCCTAAAAACTTAGAAGTACCGAACTTCTATGCAATTTTGTAACAATCATAGAAAGATCAATAACCTGAAAAAATTGAAGATGAGCAATTGATAGCCCAGTGATATCATAGTACAATAACCAATGTTCCCAAGGAATTAAATCACTGGAGAACATAATTCCTGATCAAAAGCATGTGGATCTATTGTAAGTACATTAAAATTAAATCTGGACTCTTTCAATGTTAAACCAATATGCAAGGAAAATATTGGCATAACTGCATAGATTTTCCACCTCTACCTCCACTAGTCCCACACTCCCCAATTAACTCTACCATATTGAATCCAAGAATAACTCTATTATGCATGCATCACATCATTTCTAATTCTTCACAAGTTATCATCCCAGCCTTTTCAAATAACTAGATTGTGCTTCCAAGTTCCAACTACCATTAGTTTCCAATTCCACAAGACAATATAATCCCCGACTAAATGCACCTCCAAAACTTCCTCCAGAACAATACAAGCATACACTTGTGTAACAAAAACATCTAATAGCAATTATCTGCAGACACTTTCCTTTCTTTTGTTTTGATCAAAACAGTAATTTGTATTCATGAAAAAACTCCCTCCTACCTGAAAGTATGAGTAGGAAGGAAAAGTATAACTCAATCCTAGACAGCTACAAACATTTAGATACAGAAAATTTTGCACATCCAATCCCGGTCTAGGTGTTCCCCATAGGAAATTATCCCTCATTACCCGTGTTCTAGCCTGAGCATCAGCCAACAAAGTTGCAGACCATGGTACCCACTTGAATGAGCTGTTCAATTGTTTGTCCAATGCTTGAGCCTATCTTACTAGTGCTCTGTAACTCCAAGGAGAATCCCCATCAGCTTGCATCCATTCTATAACTGTTTAAAAGTCTCCCTCCACTACTAAATCCTTCCACCCTAACATGGAGATAAGGTTAGTCCTTAAAAGGCTAGATTTCTGCTTTTAAAGAATGCCATGCCCAAATGGTCCAGAATAACTGAGACAAATGTTGCTATTACTTTCTCTAACAAACACCTCCAATTCCAGATTCCCCTTGGTTGCCTAGGCTGCATTCATCAAATTTGAGTTTTAGCCTTCTGGTCTCAGGTGCTGTCCATTCCACTGGTCTCTGTTGAGTGTTGACTTCTAGATTGATGCCCTGCCACAACCTGCCATCCTCTCACTAGCTCATCCATAGTAACACCTTTGAATTCTTCACATGCCAAAGGCCAGTGCCCAATTCTTATCTTAATAAGATCTATCAAGGCACTTCCCCCACAAACCCCATTTGCTGTCCTTGTGCACTGCTTTAGAATGAGGGGGACCAGCTGCAAACGCACAAAGCAATACAGCCAAGAAAAACAAATTAACCAACTAGAGAATGCTCCTCTAAACCCCACATTTACAAGGGGTCTGGATCTGCTAGAAACAGAAGGCTAGGCAAATTGCAGCCAAACAGCACCCTTCTTATGCCATGTGTCCTTGACACATGGGACACTTTAGCACTCATGCCAAAGTAACGGATGGCCATTAAGCACTTCCCTCTCATATTCTCTCTTCTCACTCTCCTTTTTTTTTAAAATTGGGTCCCATTTTGTATATTTAGTTGAACCAACGCAATAATCACATGGATTTAAATATTTAAGTGGGTCAAAATGGGTTGGTTAGGTTGGGTTCCAACCCAACCTGGTCAAAATGGTTTATTAATGGATATGGGTAGTAGGGGTGTCAATGGCCAGGTTTGGGTTGGCCCCATCCAAATCAAAATCAATTTGAACAGGGTCCAATAAGACATATTGAATTGGACCTGTCTAGACTTAATGGTCCAAAGTATTTATTGGATTAGATTGGACCTGGTCCATCTGTAATGGATTTATAGTGGACTGGGTAGGGTTGAACCAATATCCGGGTTTGGGTTGGACCCAATCTGAATTAAAACCAATTTGAACAGGTTGGACGGTCCAATAAGACATTGAGTTGGACCAGTCCAGTCCAAACTATTCATCAGATTGGATTGGGCCTGGTCCATCTGTAATGAACTCATATGGCACTAGATCGAATTGGACAAATATCCGGTCCATTGTTAACCCTAGTGGGTGGTTGGTGCTTTGGTGGATGGGTTGATCTGAAATCCACATCCAACCCAATCCATCCATTTACCACCCCTAGTCTCCCCAATTGCAAGCTAATTCTCTGACCGGCATTGACATTATGCTGCTTGCTAACAGTGTCTTGAGACGAGTAGACGACTCCATCAGTGTCACTACATAGGGGGTTTTGGGACCATTGCGTTTTTTGCAGTTTTTGAGAAACATTTTTTCATGGTGCTATTTGGTTCCATTGCTGTTTCCTGAGGAAACGACACCATATAGAAGCCATATCAGAAAATGCTTTGTGGAAAGAAAAAGCACCAAAATTGCATTTTTTAAGATGGGCAATGTTTTGAGAAAATTGCAAAACGTTTTCTTACTGTTTTTTGAGAAAACAGCCAACTAAACGGCATATGCCAATGTGTTTTTTGCCTTTTTCTCAAAATCTGGTGTGGCACCATTTGCTCAAAAAAATGACGATGGTCCCAAACACCACCACAGTTACGAGTAAATCAGATACCTTCTTGTTGTTGTTGTTATTAAATTTACATTGCATATATTTTGTTTTGGTCCTACTTATTTTAAAATTCTCATCAGCATCATCTATGAAAAATCCACTTAGATAGGCCCAAATTCCCAAGATTATAACCACCAAAGTTCAATTTGATGCATCCCTAATGATAGAGACCAACAAGGGGAAGGGTGAGATGTATTTAATTACCAATGTTTTTGCCATTTGAGATCAATCTCTAATTATGTCATCTGTCATGATGTAATCAAATTTCTTTAAGGTTTCTACTCAGTGTGGTACCCTTAGTATAATTAATATTTGCAAATGACCACTTTATTGCTTTTAACTTTCTCTTTAAAAATTCTGCTATTTCTCTCTTCCCATAAACTAGCTGCCCTGGCACATCACAACAAGATCATCCTTCACTTCATAGTGAGGGTGAAGAGAGTTGAACTAAATAACCCTTGCATAGAATCCAGAGGAGTCTATCGAACATCAAACAAGGAAAAAAGATATCATATTCTCATATATTAGTAGCATAAGCATAAGAAGTTCAAACATCAAAATATCAATATGGCAAAAGTTGGGTATCGGTGTGTATTGATACACCATTTTTTTATTTTTTTACTTTTATATTTTAAAAGAATTATAAGGATGGGATCAATCATCCTAAAGGTTTAAGCCTTTTAAAATATGCATGTATCGGTGTATCCATGAGTATTTGTGCACACTGATACAGATATGGCTTGCTTCATATATGGCATATCATATCCATATTTTGATTCTTGATGTTATCAAGTGAAATATAGCTTCAAAATTTGCCACACAAAAGAAACAAATGTTTGGTGAGAGACACCAATAAGGCCACCTCTCTTGGAGGTTATCAAGAGTGTTAGCTTTGCATACATTTTTATTGACCCAAAATGGGCTACATACTCATACCAAATTACCATTTTATGAAAAGAATATAGTTGTTTGCCCCTATTAAGATGTTTATATATCCATACTCCCAGTCTCCCACCTAGGCAATGAGCCTCCAACATGCATAGGTGATGGGCCTCCAAAATGCCTAGGCAACACACTAACTACATTGAGTAATAACCTGAGATGACTGACAGAATTTGGTCCAGTGTTTTAAAAGCACAAGGCGCAAAAAAGGCACAAGGGCCAATTTGCGCCTGAGGCGCTAGGCGAGGGGTGCCTTTTTAAGAAAGGTGCAAAACTACAAAAAAAAAGCTAAAAAATAAAAAAAGCCAGAAAATTCAAAAAAATGCAAAAGATTCAAAAATATTAAACATAATGTTAATAAAAAATATAAACATAAATTAAAAAAAATGTTTTAAAAAACCAATTATCTAAAATTAAAATACATAAATAAAACATGTAAAGCGTATTCAAATGAAAATTTAAAAATAAATGGAAACATATAAAGCATTTTCAAGCATGTAAAACCCAGCAATTAGACTCAAAAAAGGCAAAAAGCGCAAAATTTTAAAAGGCGCACGCCTGGGCTGAGGCGTAAGGTGCATCAGGCGCACACCTAGGCACACTAGGCGTGCGCCTTTTGAAAGGGGTGTGCCTAGGACCTGGGTGAGGTGCATACCCCAAAATGCGCCTCGCCTGTGCGCTTAGGCGCGCCTTTTAAATCACTGATTTGGTCTAAGAAAAGTAGGCAAAAGAATCCAATTTCTTGGCACTATCTACTACCAAGGTCATCCTACTGAAAGCCATTTCTTGGCACATTAGCATAAAATTGGCAACACTTTGAATCAAACCTGTAATTTCATGCTTCTCAGCCCAAGATTTTATCCATCACATTAAGCAATGGCCCTTTTAAAGTTTGACTCTATTCGACAAAATACACTTTCTCCCTAGGGGCCATTGCTTGATGCCATGGCAAAACCTTGGACTGAAATGTGAGAGAACAAAGATTCCAAGTCTAAAATGGCCATTTTGTGCAAAAGAAGAGCTAAAGAACAGGTCCGTATCCCTCCAATCCTGGATGGCTAGGACCATCATTGGGTAATGGCCTTTTTTCCTAAAGAGTAAAAGAAGCAACTTAGAAAAACTCCCATGAACACTAACATCTGTAGAAAGAAAAGACAAAACTGGAACACTAAAACTCCCTCCCAGTTCAGATCCCTTTTTAATCCATTGTCAACTCATTAGAACCAAAAGCTTACTCCCTCATGACCATATACATGCACACACAAAAAAAGCAAGAAGCCTCTAAGAATCCTTTTCCAAAAACAAATAGCAGTGTAGCACCCAAATTAGAACTAGATACCCACCCACCAGACTGTCATACCAAAGCCAACAGCACCCACCAAAACACCTAAAGGAAGCCAATCAATCAAATTAGGCTCTTCTCAACCAAAAGTCAGCCCTATGTAAAACTAACCTGGTTATCCAATAGAAATGGGCTCCTTTAAAAGTGAATTGCAAAAACTGATCCATGCAATAAAATCATCACAGAAGAGAATCACTACCCCATGCCATCCAATAGACCCCAAAACATAGCATCCCCAACAATCTACAGATCTCCATCAGTATTGAAGCATAATTAATCATGCATGCAGACAAACTCAAATACTCAATAAAATAACATCTTCAGTTTCTTGTGTTAGCTCTGTGACACTAAAAACATAAAAGCACTTCTTCAATAACCAATAAAATTAATGTTGTGGAATACTATTCAAAGAACAATATCATTTTAACTGGACTATTTTTCCTAGTGCATTCTCTATTTGTTAGTTGAAATTCAAAATGCATTCATGCTTCATGATTCCAAGGTTCCAACAAAACTTGGTGAAAGAATCATTTTTTAGGTGTAATAACGAGATGACTTATGGTGAAAGCACCATTGTTTTAGATTTCATGAAGAACTGCTTAAACTTGCACATCTCACCTTGAGCGATGGACAAGATAAGTTGGAATAAAATTACAGTAAGTATATTCACAAGAATCTAGGAACAGCTGCAATAGTTGACAAAATTAGTCAAATTAATTCTAGTATGTAGGAGTGTAATTTAAAAAGGCCATTGCCTAATGATAGCCCCAGGCTCCTAGCTATCTGGGCTCTTCGGAGGCTGCAACAAGATTTCAAACAGTTGGTGTAGCTGGAATTGTTAATGAACATTTAACAGTAAGCAACTACTTGGAGATAATGAAGATATTCTGTTGAAATATGGTTAAAATCAGGGAAACGGGAAAAAAGCATAATAACATGCATTTAAGTTATCGAATAGTCCTCCTGTGCGAATTTAAAGAACGAGGCAGTTTTAGCATAAGATACAATACATCACAATAACCCATTATAATGGGATTTGAAAATCAAATCTTAATCTATCTTATCATACAACCAATATGGTAGGCTCTTAATAGTCTAGATTGCGACACTCTACTCATGAAAGCAATATCCCCATTCCCGAAACTTAATTAACAGAGGAACAAGAACTAAGTCTATCGATAAGTAATACCAACATTACTAATAACAGCACAAATCGGCGAAAACAAATACTCGTATCTGAGTTGAGGTATCCATAACAGCCAAATTTAAGCCCTTTCGACAGAAAGAAAGGAACCGTATAGATAAAAAAAATTCCTTACTTCCTGATCAATATCTATTATATAATATATAAAATGAAGGAAGCCACCAGAACCATCAGAACCCATGAAAATAATCACAGAACACTCAATTGTCTCTAAAATCAAAATCGACCACTCTTTTTTTCCATATGACAATCAGGAATAAGAAACTCAGTATAACAATAAGAGCGACCAGACAAGAGAATAAACAGACAAAGAAAGGGAGATTTCTCAAACGATTAATCAAGAAAATATCACCTTGTTATGTTTGAGCTTTTGAGCAGCCGGCGGCGTGATATCGATGACGTCGGGATCAAAAAGTGAAGAACTACCGCCCGACATTACTCTGAGCCTGCAATCAAATTATCGCCAAACAAACCAAAAATCGGAACAGTACGGGAAAACTTCCAACGCAAGATTCAGAAGTCCAGAAAGAAGAAAGGAAAGAAAAAAAAGGTCCGGTACTTGGATTTTCTAATGACGTGTCTGGCCAAGGGCGCCTGCTCCATTAACGATCGCCTCCTCTTGTCTTGCACTTCTCCCTCTCCGTATGCTCCTCCTTCCCAGTCTCTCCTACTTCCACTCTGATTCTCCTTTTCTTGCCTTTTCAGTTAACTAAAATGAATAAAAACGAAGAAAGAGAGGGAACGAGGACTCTCTGTTGCCCTTCTAAAAATTCTTCTCTCCTTTCTCTCTCTCCGATTCGCGCCTTTTAATAAGTAGACTTACTCGCACCACGCGAAAATAGCGGGACGTATTATACTAACAAATTGCTCCGTCTTCAACTCTTAATTACCAATAATACCCCTCAAAACGCGACGAGAACTTTTGCTTTTTCCTCTACGACTGTCGAGAGTCTAATCCATGGCCTCGCCTTTGAGCTTGTGGAGTACGGTCTGACTTGTCTACGCCACGTGTAGCTTAAGGAAAATTTTGGTGGGTCATACTCCGTTAACCGTCTGATCAATTTGACATCTATCCAGTACAGATTTGCCCCATCATTGCTTCCTGACCCACATTTATCTCTGAGATGTGTTAGTTAACAAAATAAACAGATATTAATAAATCATAATTACTTAACTGAGGAACTCGTCGTGGATCGTGGGCCTCCAAGGAGAAGCACTGAAGCAGCATTCCATTTCTCTCGCGTAGGACGTAATCCAACGAGAAGGCCTAGAGAACAGAGCCCAAATCTGCAAGATATCGACACGTCTTCCTTCCAAATTCTGGGGTACGTGGATCATATTTTATTCAGTGACCCGCACGTGAGATGCCTCTTTTTCTTGGAAATGGGTCAGAAAGGGTCTAAACTTGTGTGGGCCCAACTGTCCTTAGTAGGCTTTGGTGCTCTGCTTTCGAGTTTTGTATTTATTTAACCATTATTTGATGGGCTGTATATTTTGGGTTTGGAGTCAAATTAGCCGGAGATGGGCCCTTCGCTTGTTTCAAGAATTGAGGCCCACCACAACATGGATGAATGGATGATGGATCAACTGATACTATGATTTGGGCCATAAATCAGCATGTATAAAAGACTATACCCAACAAGGCAACAATTTTTTAATTATTACGCTTTAACTGGATGAGAGAGGTAAAAGTTGAAAGGGGACCCAGACAAACAGGTCCAATATTTCTTTTGTTTTAATTGTAAATCACTAAAACAACCCTAGTTAAATGACTATTATGGTTAAATATTAAATAGTTAAGGGTAGTTTGGTTAAGTAGGACACCAATTTGGTCAATTTGATGTAGAAGGTAGTACCAATATCTTTGATAATAGTACTTCCAATGTGAATTATTGAGAAAACCGTGGGTTAAATATTTTATTGAACACCCTCACTCAAATGACTAATGAAAATTCTGTTTGGTAGCACAATGACAAGAGAACCACCAAATATTAATATTAGTGTTAAGTTGGCAGCCAGTACTATAACTTTTGTCAAATTTGGAGCACTAAATAGATAAGAATGACAAAACACGAATCATGTAAGATGTAACTCATATAGTTTAAATAAGGCTTAGTCGCTTAGATGATGATGATGATAGAGGATTCAAACTCTTAATCATATAACCTACCCC